ACACACACACACAGACACACACACATTTAAACACCATTCGAGCACTACTGTGTTGTTTTTCCGCTCAGATATTTTGTGTATTTTCATGAAATGCCTTAGCCTTATTCTCACCTCTTTTCCTTTAAGTGGATTTATTTGATCAATTTGAAAGCCAAAATCCCGTTTTTCACGTGCCATCCATCCCAGACCGGTGTGCTCAGGACCAACTGTGTGGATTGTCTGGACCGAACCAACACGGCCCAGTTCATGGTGGGCAAGTGTGCACTTGCCTATCAACTCTACGCACTGGGAATGATTGACAAGCCCAAGCTCCAGTTTGACACTGACTGTGTGAGGTAATGCTCCTTCCGTCCAATCAGTATCTTATAACAAATAAATGGCCACAACAGGTACAGTTCTGTTTGTCAATATGTGTCTGGAAAGACCTTGCTAATTCAGGCTTTTTCTGTGAATAAACCTTCGCAAATTAGAAGCAGAAAAATTATGCACAGCGGCCTTAATCACATAATCTATAACCCGATCCACTCAAATTTCCCCTAAAGTAGCACAAGTTTGTTTTGCTTCTTTTCACCAGTTGTCCTCAGACGTGAACCCTGAATAAACTGTTTTGTTTTGTTTTTCTCACGAGCTATGCAGACACTCTGAAAATGTCTCTTCCCTTTGGATAGTCTTCTGGTGTGGCCCCTTTAGAGCACCTTGATTTTTTTTTTTTTTTTTTTGCTGTTGGCCATGCGTCCAACCTCTGAGTGAGCATAGGCATCCCAAATAATGACACCCTCCCACCGTACTTCATAAATGGGATAACGTTTTGATTTTGATCATGTGCTTTGCATTTTTTTCTCCTCACATAGCAGTTTATGTTTCTTCCAAACAACTAACTCAAATTTTTTTTTTTTTGTCCGTCCGCACAAATAGTAGACAGAAATGAGCTTTTCAAACCAAAGACAGCTCCTCCTTTTGTGCTTTTTCAGGTTGTTTGAGGAGCTGTACGAGGACCACGGCGACACGCTTTCGCTGCAGTACGGCGGCTCGCAGCTGGTGCACCGGGTCAAGACCTACCGAAAGATTGCGCCATGGACTCAGCACTCCAAGGACATCATGCAGACGCTGTCGCGCTACTACAGCAACGCTTTCTCAGGTGTGTGTTCCGAGGAGAGACACAAGGCCGCTGGCACTTGCATTGTAATGCAAATGAAGTGATCTATGAGCAAATTTCCACGAAAAAAAAGTTATTTCCAGCCTTGCCGAGCCGTGTCATAAAGAAAAGGCTTTTTAGATGCCTTTTAAAAGATATCCCTGCTCCACAACATCCCCCCCGCCCTGCTTGGAAACCATTACATTACATTATGTCGACTGAATGTCATGCATATTCTGAAGTTAAGTAACTCATCCGCACGTGATATTGATATGACCCGGCAGCGCTAAGTGCAAATCCTTAAACTCATTTGAAAGCCTTCCTTTTCCATCATGAATGGCACTGTCATTTCTCAGATAGATTGTGTCTACGTAAATGCGTACAAGTGATTCAGTAGCGGTTCCTAAAAATCGTAGAAGCCAAGATGATGATGATGATGCGCTACTTGACACGCCGAGATCCCCCCTCTCTCTCTCGTCGTCAGCTCTATTTTAAAGCGGATGGTGATTGGGAGCACAGAAGGGAATGAAACTTCTTTTCAGAGCGCAAATGTCAAGGGCTAAAGGTTTGCGTTGTGCCCTTTTTTAAGCGGGGCGCTGTCATTTTTCAGACGTTTACTTGTGATTGCATTTTGATGGCTTCCAGTATCAGGCTGAGCTTCGGCCACATTTGTTAGTCACAGCCATGGAATATTCGACAGGCTCTGGGACACTTTTTAGTGAGTGTCAAGGGTCTGCAAGCTAACATTTTCAGAATTATTTATTTATTTTTTTTTAAATCAAATTTTGGATTATATTTTTATGATACAGATTTTTTTTTTCTCTGAAAATAAATGAATCTAGGGAGGAAAAGGTTGGTAGTAACCAAATCAAACAGTTGGTAGAATGATTTGGTAATATTGCGAGTAGAAATATTGTGAGAGTAGTACGTGAGGTGAGGTTTTTTTTTTTTTTAAGGGGGGGAAGCTATATTTGTATGTAAATATACACCTTATATAAAATTATGTATTTGGTAATTTCATAGCTCATCTTGCAATATCATTCTTGAGTTCTTTCTTATTCTTGTAAAATCAAAATTTTCGCCGAAATATTCTTTATTCTCAAGTTCAGTCACAATCGTGTCTCTGGTTCTGAATATTATTATTTTATTATTATGAAGTTATTTTATTCACATAAAATGCTTCCGTTACAATTTTTGTACAATGTCAATTCTTAGAATATTCATTTTTGGTTGTGTAAAATTATAACTTCTTTTTCATGATATATTTTGTTATTCTCCTGATACAACTTTATTCTGAAGGTTTTAACTCCAGTAATATTTTTTAATTACCAGACTTTCCTCATATTGCTCTTCATTCTTTTTTGGAATCTCATTTTATATACTTGATGTTTTTTTTTTTTTTTTGCTGGACCCTGTCCCGGATGTGCTTTCCAGATGCGGATAGACAGGACGCCATCAACTTGTTTCTCCAAGTGTACCAGCCGGCAGAGAGCAGGCCACACCTGTGGGACCTGCCTACAGACTTCTACCTGCATCAGAAGAGCACGATGGCCCTCCCCATGGATAGACGCAGGTACCCAAAACGTCAAAAATAAATAATTAAAATCAATTAGCACCGGTCATGTGTTTGCAAAGCCATCCATGGTACCCTTCAGGACAGCAGACGGCCAAGTATTCAGGAAGCGATTAGTATTCTTGATTTGATTTTAGTCTGGCTATTTGTATGTTTCTTTTGTACATGTTTAATATTTGAATTATACATAATTTTTATATGGGGAAAAGAGTAATATCACAAGAGGAAAAATACTACAGTCAACCTTGGTTTTGTTACGATTCTGTTTTTGCCCAAATTTTTGAGTGCCAAAGTTCTGTCCCAGTTTTTGTACATCAAAAAAGAAAAAAAACATTCATTTCTTGGAATCATTGTGCGTTCATCTCAAAAAGGGTTCTGTAAAAAGGGTTCAAGAGAGGGCAAGGATTATTTTACAAAGCAAGCTTTTATTAAGAACTCAGCTGCTCGGCAACACTTGTTGCCAAGCATTTTTTTTTTTTTAAATGCGAAAGTTGCTTCGGTTTTTGTGTGATTTTATCTTTCTGGAATAGAGCAGAGGTTCCTCAAGAAAAAATTTTTTGAAAAGACGAGTGAATAGTCCTCGTAAAAAGTACATTTTAAAGTTGGATTAAAAAAAATTTATTTACTATTTACTACAAAAAAAAGAAAAAATATATATATAAATAGTAAAGTGTGTGTGTGTGTGTGTGTGTGTGTGTGTGTGTGTGTGTGTGTGTGTGTGTGTGTGTGTGTGTGTGCAAAATATTTTTTTTCTTTGTAAATAGAAAAACTAGGACAAGTCCCAATTCCATGATGACTTTTCTGTCTTTTGCTTTGTGCGCTTAGTCTAGCTTGATCCAAAATGTTTTGTTTGCATGCAGTTATCTTTGTGCTGACACAAAAGTAGACCTAGTTTCCCGCTACTGGCCAGTTCATTTGTCCACAATGGGCCGAGGTGGCTCAGCCTTTATTCCCCGAAATTAACTTGGTCGCATCTGAATTCATTCACTCACACACACACACACACACACACACACACACACACACACACACACACACAAAGGTCATCATCGTACTCAGTGAATTCACTCCAATTGGTCACACAAAATAAAATGAACGATGCACAAGGGAGTTGCGCGTGTTCCCTCCGTGTTCCAGCAAGGACCAGTTTTGTTATGTAGGTTACCGTCAGTGTTGCCCCCAGAGTACGAGCCGCTTGACATTTCAGCATTTGTGTGTTTATTCTTTCTTTCGCAGCTACACGTTGTGGTGGTCAGAGGGAGTCTTGTCTTACCTGCCTATCGCCTTTGATGAAGGTAACAGCGATATGTGCTTTACAGGATAATTTTGCGCAAGTCAAGGAAATTCTGGGGGAGTCAAATTGGAAAAATTCGATGAATGAAAAAGTTATCACAAGAATTCAACTCACAAAATAGTGAAAATGAAGTTGTGATTTTAGAGAGAATAATTTGGAATGCTGCGTGAAAGGTCATAATTGTGCAAGAAATCCATTTGGTTGGCAGTTCCATGTGACGAAACCATGAAGAAGTTGTCAGTGAAGCGAGCGAACCGCTTCGAGGAGAGCATCGACATCTACACGGAGTTCTTCAGACCCTACGAGCTCACCTCCTTCGACGACACCTTCTGCAAAGCCATGACCAACTCGGCCCGGTGCGACGTCATCTATTGCTGTCTGTGGTGCCGACGCTAACCGCTGCTTTGCTAACCTGTCCCTCGTTACAGGGAGTTCATGCCCAAAACGGTGGGAGTGGATCCCAGCCCGTTCACCGTCCGCAAACCAGAGGAGACAGCCAAATCCGTGCTGGGGTGAGTCTCTGCATCCATACTTAGAATAGTGAAAGTACATTTTTGACACCACCCTCAAAAAGGTTGAGAGTTGCCTATATATGCCACGGGATGACAGCAAAACACAACTTTTGAACTCACGTCAACATAGTTGCTTGGTACCAAGATTCCACAATATTCAGAAACAGAAAATGTTATTGATCATATGGGCAATTCAATTGAAGATTGGCATTTATCGATCCGATACCTGACAAGATGATGGCAAAGCGCAAATTTTGTTGAAATGAAGCACCGCAGCTTAACGTCAACATAGTTCCTTGGCACCAAGATGCCACAAGATGATGGCAAAGCATGACTTTGCTGAAAATGAAGCTCCTCAACTCACTTTTACCATAATACCTGTGCGATATACCTTGAAACAGGTAATCTTTGATGAAGGATAGGGGAAAAAAACTCAACTCTCATGGGTGAACTTTTATGAGTGCCGACTGGGTTTGCATCCAAAACTCACCCAAAAAAAATCTCGGTTTCCCGTTAGGCGTGATGGATGGATCTCTCTTCCTAATCTCTTTTGAATAACGGTGAGACAACCTCCTTTGAAAAATGACTCCCAAGTGTTAATCAACTATGATACGCCAGCAGTTTTCAGTCTCGTGACCGGCTGATTAATTTGACTAACCGCTGCTGTGCAACTCTGTCGACGTTTTACAGATGAACCTGTTTTTTTTTTTTTTTTTTTAATCCACCTTAAGGGAACTTTAAAATCCCCCCAAAACGTGATAAAATGCGTATTTGCGGTTTCCCGTAGCAACAAGAGCAGCAAGGACGAGACACTGGTGCAAAGGAAGACGGCGGCCAGCGCGCCCCCTCCGCCCAGCGAGGAGGCCATTTCCAGCTCTTCGGAGGACGACTCCGAGGAAGACCGCGATGACGACGCCTCTGTCTCGCAGCGCTCCACCCCGGTCAAACTTTGGACCGATTCCGGAGAGTGCAGTCATGCTCAAGAGGTGGGACAAACACACACCAAAAAAAACAGTTTCATGACTCACTAAAAGTTAACTCATTCACTCCCAAAGACGTTTTTATACGTCTTTTCAGACTTGGTCTAGAATTGGCTGGTACTGAATGAATAGAGATTGGCTTCTAACCTTTAGCACGGATGCTACTGCTAACACAACTTGCCAGGTGTCCTTGCTAGCCCAAAAATGTTATAGATAGCTAATTTCATGATCAAAAACAACTACAGCCTGACACAAAAGTGCAGTTGAGCATCTGTGCACATATTGTGGGTCAAGAATTCCTTTTACTTCCTTTTTGATTCTCAGAAGAAGCTTTTATGACCGCAGCAGTGTGCATTTCACGGCCCAGTGGACTACTACTACTCGTGCTTTGACATCCGCAGTTGACCCACATTGTCGGTAGTAGGTAAAGTGGAACCCACCAGGAAGTCCTCTAAGCTGGTCCTTCCCGCAGTGTGCCGCTCACGTTCTTCGAAATGGCAGCCAAAGACTGAAATTGTCAACCTGTGGCTTCACTGTCGCCTCGTGCGTAGACGAGAAGGTGTCAAGTGTCGCCCACCGTGAGCTGAAGTGAAGGCTTTATTATTGTGTGGTCCTGCTCATAGAAAAGGAATGTTTTCCTTCAGATTCCCTTTTATGGGCTTTCCCTTATGAAAAATAAAACCAATTTTCCTTGAAGTGGTCAGCTCCCAAAGACAGGTTCACTTTGCAGCATGATATTCCATGATTTTTCCTGACGATTAGACCCACAAAAAAGTCTGAAGAATCCCTGTCAATTCAGGATCACTTAGGGAGAAAATAACTAAAAATGTGAATCAGCGTTGCGTAAAACAAGTCAGGCATTTTAGTTTTCAGTAGCCATTTTGAGGGGAAATATAAAAAAATCAGCCCCCAAAGCCAGTTTCACAAAGCAACATAAGCTTCGCTAGGCATGTCCATCACTGGTCGGCTCACAAAAAAAGTCTGAAGATACCATGCCTGAAAATGACACAGGTCCTCATCTGCCTTGTTATTTTCAAATGACTACAATAGGCTCATTAAAAAAAAAAAAAAACATCAAAAGTTCAGCCCACGTCCCCAAAGGTTTTTCACTTAGCCACATGAAATTTGGTTGCCGTTTCAGTCATGAGGAGACCCTAAAAAATTTCCATCCCTTGTTTTTTTTTTTTTTTTTTTTTAATGAGTTTGAACAAGCATAAAAAAAATTCTGCTCTCATCACCAGTTTTGCTTACCAAAATGAAATTCGGGATGTCTATTGCATTCGGGATGTCTATTGCGTAAACCCCACAAAAAAAGCCCAAAGAACTAATATATGAGCAGACTTAGAAAGTTGACCATTTTGCTGTAAAGATGCCATTTTAGTGCCATTTTAGGGGCGGATAAAAATCATTGAATGCATTTTAATAAGCAGGTTTATCTTATTCTTAATTAATGTATTTATGATAAATCAACCATGGACCAATTTGAATGATTTTGGTCTTTACTTCTGGAGTGAAATGCTTTGTATTGTGACTCCATTTGTCTCCTTTCCATTGATAAGCCACCTCCCCCTTCAGCTTTTTCATGAATATTTGGTTTTGGGCCCTCACGTGTTGGCTGCACCTCCAACCCGCTGTCCCTTCCCACACCGGCGCTCACGTGGCTCTCATGTCACCCCCCTCTGCCCCCCCGCCCCCCCTCCACAATGGTGTGAAGTACCTAATGCTGTTGAAATATTTAACCGTCAGATCATTACTGTGTTTGCCTTGTAATTACACATTTCATATTCCTCTTCGGCACCAGCCATACATGAGCTCGTATGTCCGCTGTCGTGTGTTTGGAGGATTGCGTGTGTGCGTGCGCGCGTGTGTTCACAGCTGTAGTTCGCTGGACTCCTTCCGAGAACACTCTCCTCCGCTCGCAGCGTCGATCAATACAAATATAGTAAAAATTGAAGGCATTACATTAAGCATTTTTCGCTGCCGTGGCAGGAAAACAGTCTGGAAGAATAATAGCACGGGGTGACGGCTTTAGGAGTGCTCTCGCCTTGGCGCTATTACATAACCAGACTTCTTGGTCCCGAGACATTTATGGAGGCGTTGTTCAAAATCGGGGAGTCAAAAGGCTGCGGAGTTTTCAGACGGAACACACTTTGACCATTTGTGCGGATTTTTGAAGGAGAAAAAAAAAAAAAAAAAGCTAATGCTGCTGCCATCATAAAACATTCTGCATTTTTACATTCGGAACTGTCATATAAGTTTGAAATAAGATGACTGCTCCGAGTAAACAAGGTCAGTGTGTGAATTTGTAAAAAAATGCCGAACTATATATATATATATATATATAAATTTTTTAAAAATGGCAGTCGATTAATCTGCAATACAGATTAATCAGTTATACCGATTAATCGACTGCAACCTGTGAAACTGCGACCCTCCCTTCTCCCGCCCTGTTGTGTTGAAAGCAGTGTTGCCAGATGCACGATGGGATTGTGGGAGAACCCGTCCAGTATGACGTCTGCAAGTTCCCTTAGTCAAGTCTGTCCCCCCTTTTTCAGGAGGGCCAGCAGCAGGCCTTCAGGGAGCCCTACGGACTCACTCTGGCCGAGTTCCCTGCTGAGCAAGACCTGCTCATCTATAACCGGTAGGTCGGATGCGGCCCCTCATTTCCGTCAACAATCAAAAAAAAGTATCGCCTCGTATAGCCTATTATTTACCCTTTCATGCACCCCTGTAACCCGATAACATGATCAGCCGTCCACTGTAGTGACCGCCGTCCCTCAAAGGGTGAAGTAGACCAAATTGCCCCTTATAGAATGCAGCAGCCGAGGTGAGAAGTGATGCCAAAGTGGCTGGCCAAGTATAGAATGGCTCGCTCACAAAATGAGCCAAATAAGTGGAAATGTAATTGGCTGTTTGATGTCACACCTGATGAGTAGGCTGACATTTACAACCAATTGCAAAGTGCATTTTCCATAACAGGCGGCCAGGTGGAACAGTGGTTAGTGCGTCGACCTCACAGTGCAGAGGTTGTGGGTTCGATCCCGGCTCCAACCTTTCTGTGTGGAGTTTGCATGTTCTCCCCGGGCCTGTGTGGGTTTGCTCCGGGTACTCCGGTTTCCTCCCACATTCCAAAAACATGCATGGCAGGCTGATTGAACACTCAAAATTGTCCCTCGGTGTGAGTGTGAGCGTGGATGGTTGTTCGTCTTTGTGTGCCCTGTGATTGGCTTGCAACCGGTTCAGGGTGTCCCCCGCCTACTGCCTGAAGACAGCTGGGATAGGCTCCAGCACCCCCCACGACCCTTGTGAGGATAAAGCGGATCGGAAAATGGATGGATGGATAGATTTTCCATATATCGCCTCCAAAACATTTTTTTCCAAGGTTTCGTCTTGGCTACATTTCGTTCTTTGGAATGGCCTTCCACCCCCCCCGCCACCTCTATTATTTCTCATGAACAAAATAAATTGTGTTTGACTTGAGAGTTTCTGCTGTTAGTTAGCAAGAACATAAGGTACTGTGAGTTCTCGGTAATAGGAAAAGGACGCCACAGGCTCCATTGCCAGGTGCGCCATCTGAGCCACTTCATAGAGAAAACTAACAATTATTTTCGCCGGCGGTTGTACGTGAGAAAAGAACACGCATGTTTTGGCCCTCGGCTCACTTGTGTTTCTTTGACTGTATCTGCCTGGCATGCTTTTTATGTGTCAAGTTGAAATCCAGGATGTTTTGTTCTGCCCCGTTTCCGAAAAATATTTCCTTTAATTCTTTTTTTGTAATGATTATTATCATTGACAAACATGCCTGGGGGTTGCCGACAGCGGTGTTAATAACAAGCAGCTCCCGGGACATTGTCATCTCTACCCTGCCTCATCTCTACACTTCGCTTTTGTCCACTTGGGGTGTGTGCGTTTGTGTGTGTGCGTGTGTGTGTGTGTGTGTGTGTGTGTGTGTGTGTGTGTGTGTGTGTGTTTGCTTCACGAACGACACCGTGTGTTCCGCGGACATGATCTCGCTGATATTTGGGAATTCAATTTGCAAAAAAAAGAGAAAAGTGGCCTTGTTTGGTGATGTGTCCATATGCCACATGAACAGTTTTTGTTTTTTTTTAATGGATGAAGTGCTGCTTCCCTGAGTGAAAATGCTTTTATTGTTTTATTGCATTTATTGACATTCTGGCCAACTTCATTTGAGCTTTTCAACTCAACTCAGTTTTATTTCTCAAGCGAATTAAACAAGCAGCAGAATCTTGAAGCCGAATAGAGTTATATGCTTCCTCTTAAGCGTTCCACTTAAAAAGTGAGCAGGAGCATTTTGGGTCAATTGAGGACTGGCTGACCCCCAAAATAAATTGCATTCCGGTCATCTAGCCGAGAAATGATCATTCTACCGTATGTTTGTTTCTTGTAATGCCTTCGCATGTGGGAAAGGAGCCCCACCTCCAACAGGCCCCGCCTCTTTATGGCACATCTTATCCACACTGCATTTTCCTATAAATTTTCCGCCTCCAATGATTTTTTTTTCATGTTTTAATAAGCATATGGGAGAGGTAAAACTATTTTTGGAGGGGGGGGGATAAATATATATATAATTTTTGTTTTAATTTTTTTTTTGTCATTGTATTATATCGGCTCTATCCAATTGATGATGCGTCTGGACAGCATCTCCTGCGGTCAATGGGACTTGACTGTATTTCCCCAAAGTTTTTCTCGTGACAAATGTGGCACCTATCCCGCACTGCACTGGCGCGTAATGAGAATTAAAGCGCATTCATTATGAAGTGTCGCGTTTGGACCGCTTCCAAGCACGTTAGCTCGGCTAATCAATACATTAATATTAAAAATCCCGAGCAGGAGCCAGAAGGGATCTCGCAATTTTTGTGTGCGTGCGTTAGGAAGTCTTCTGGAAGATCCGGCATGACACGTTTGGACATAAGAAATTTTCGTTTGTTTGATTTTTTTTTTTTCTTTTTAATCGATTTGTGACTATGTTTTGACAGGTTTGCGCAGCTGGGCGAAAGTCATCAGTGGCGAGCGGCGAAGGGTGAGCACCTCCACCTGGCAAACATCATCTGCTTGTGAGTAAAACGTGAGCGGTGGGAAAACACAAAAAAACGGCCGGGTATTAATCCTGGCTCACGTGCGCCGTGTCTGGTCCATCTCCCTATGGTGCTGAGCTATTATTAAAAAAAAAAAAAAAAAGAAAACACAATTCAAGCCGAGCAAGGTCGCTCATCGCTAAGTGCTGTCCGAGAGACGTCTCCAGCTGCGAGACGTTTTATCTGCAAGTCTTTGGTCAACCACTTTTGTTGTCCCTGCTGTTTGGCCTCGCGATTCACCCTGTGGCTCAACGCTGCTCGTGCCCCCCCCCCAAAAAAAAAATCCCCAAAAAACACGTGGCCTGTAAAGTGCGAACACTTTGCTGCCTTTGTCATTTTGTCACAGTGACAAAATGACCGTTTTACATCACATCACATGGCACACGTTTACGCGTTCGCTTTGGTAATGCCGCAAAGGCCACACAGCTTTGGAGTCGAAGAGGCTGGTTACGTTGATGGTGAGAGAGGAGAAATGTCAACACGTTGCAGGTTGGAAACAGTTCATGGATTTATTGGAAACGATCACAAATGAAACATTTGCAATCCGTTTTAAACATTTCATGAAATGCCTTTTTGATTTTATTTCGTTTGCAGGGTGGTTCAGTATGACGAAATGAATATGATTGAAATGAGAATCTTCCACACCCACATTTCACTTCCCCCACCCCACTCCTTTTTTTTTCTTTTTTACACCTCACCTACAAATGAACCGCCCATCTTTCTTTTTTTAGTTAAGATGTGTTTCCGTCCCTCTCCCATTCAATCTGTCTCTCCCCTGTGTGTGTGTGTGTGTGTGTGTGTGTGTAAATGTGGCGCCCATGCTCCCTCACAGGTGGGTGTGTGTTATACAACAGACTCTCTTATAGCACCCAAAACGTGTTGTCACTCGTGGAGCTCCCATCCGTCCATAGAGGAGAAAGAAGCATCTGAGGGCGGGGGGGGGTCGTGATTTCGTCATAGATTGCACAGTTGCGCTCACAAGCGTTGTCTCCGATGGCGTCGCGGGTATTTTTGTTTCTCCAATGGTTCAAAATAGATCAAAATAGACTCAAGTTGAATTTAAAATGTTGCTTTAAAAAAACAAAAACAATTCAACTGGATTTCATTGTAACCCATGTGTTACAATTTCTACAATTTTTGTAGATTTTTGCGTATTGTCATCTTTAAATCAAAGACAAAGCATAAAAATTGTGTGATATGAAATATTCCAATTCATGTTTTATTTATATAGATTTATATTTATGTTTTGGTCATAGCACAATACCGCTTTTATTGTCCATAGAGGGCAAAAATACAAAGAAAAAAATAAGAACGATATGTGTATGTATAGCACTGATGCCACTGAACATGTCGAGTGGTTGAAAGTAAAATAAATATTCAGGAATAATACTTTTACAATTTTTGTAAAATTGTATGTTGCGTTATATAAACTTATTTACATCGACTGCAGCATTTAATGCAGCAAAATGAATGAAAAGTACTGTTGCTCTTTTTTTTTGTTTACTCGGAAATTACAATCAATAACAATAACCTCAAAAATTAAAACGAAAGTCGAACCTCAACTATTTTAAGGAAATGAAAGCTAAATATTACATATCTTCATTTTTAATTGATGAATATTTATGGACCTGACTGCAAGTCGAACCCTTCATTTTTGGCCAGTGTTATTTCTGCTCCCATTTTGTGATGCCTTCTCTGCCGTGTGTGTCTCCCCCGAAGAGAGCCAGTGTCCCGCTTCCCCGAGGACAGCGCGTATGCGGTGTCGCCGCCGCAAGTGGACGGCGGCAGCCAAGACGTCTTCGAGAGCCACGTGATGGCGGCCCGGGGTCAAGTGAGGCCCCTGTGCCGCGAGGACATTTTGATGTATAGGGAGTACGTCAGGAACAGATACATGTGACGCACGCTCAGGGCAGCAAGATTTATTTATTATTATTTTTTTTTTTCTTCATCTACTTCTTCCTATGGATGATGTTGCCGCTGTTGTTTTTTTTTTTTAGGATTATTTTAAAACTCCATGTCATATTTTTTAAGACAGAGCTGTCTTTTAAGGTGCTTTCATTTTTAATAAATGTAATAAAAAATACAAATGATAGCTCTCTGCAGCAACTGTCCCAGCTCTGAAGCCGTAAAATTTCAAATTGGATTCTTTCCCCATTCTAATGAATGAGAATGCCATGAATCCATTACATTGCAAAAAAAAAAATTAAAAATGTCTACAATACAATTAGTACTCGACAATGCTGGACAAAAACATGTAAGAACAATTTAATTGAATGTAAACATTTTTTTTTTTTTGTTTTTTGCTTCTGTTCAATTGATATTGTGCTGCTACTTTGGGTGTGTGCGGCCGTGCATGTTTTTGGAATGTGCGAGGAAACCAGAGTACCCATGCAAAACCCACGGGGAGAACATGCAAACTCCCCACAGGAAGGCCGCAGTCGGGACCAAACCCTTTACCCCTGCACTGTGAGGCGGACACACTAACCAATCGCCCACCGGGCCGCCCAGTATGATACAGACGTACAAATTTCCATGGCGGCTCCTCAGTAATCTGCAGGAATGTTCCTCGTTCTTAGCAGAGGATAAAGCATCTATGCCTGTGAGTATTGTTCGATTGCCTGTCGACATATTTTGTTGTGTGATTTGTGTTGAAAAGTTCATTGCTCAAGTTTTAGAACACCAACCACACCGATACTTTTTGTTAGCCCATCGATGGCGTTTCCTATTACATGTTAGCGTTAAGCTAGCTAACCCAAAGCAAAGTTAAGTGGTTGTTTTAAATATATAATGTGTAATTTTCTCCCTGAGTTAAGATGAATTGACGGAAAATTTTGCTCACAAATTAAAGAAGAAAAAAAAAATTGCCGAATGACAGGTCGTATCTAGAAAAACTCATATGTCAGGTCGTTCGTATCTCAAAGCCGCACCGTATTCTTGCTTTGACATAACAACATCAATCCATGGACCTGTCATGAACATAATTTATCGCTAGGTCCCGAGCAATATGGATCTTTTTGTTTTTTTTGAGGCAGATGCAGATTCTTATCTATCTATCTATCTGTCTGTCTATCTATCTATCTATATACTGTATATATAATCATTTCACATTTTCAAAACTCTCCCTTTTCCCCTCTTGTCTGAACTGCCACGCTTGCAATTGTTCCTTTCAGATGTCAAGAGAATGGCCGAAAGAAAGGCACATGCTGGCCGAGCGGCACTCGCTGCCTCTGAGCCTCGTGAGCCTGGGCAACGGAGGATGAGGGGAGGGGCCGGCGGCGGCGGCGGCGGCATGTGACCGCCGAGGATGGGCTGCTTTTCCTCATTCCTAAACGAAGGACAAGTAAGGAAAAAAAAAACTAGTTGGAATGACTGCAATCCAGCTGTGCCTTCAGATAGCAGTGATCTGACTTAGACAACTCCGACTACTACCCATTAATTAAAACCATAAAACAAATTTACCCTCTGCTATCTTAATGCTACCATGCGATGCAGGACATGCTAGCGAATGGCATCTGTGTGGCAGTGTTCAAATCCTTTTAGGAAGGGATGTTTGTACACACATGTAGACAGACAATATCACAATACTCACAGGCATGTATTCTTTATCCTCTGCGCTGACTATTAATGCAGCTTACTGTGAAGCTGCGACTATCTTCATCTCTCTCTGTATTAGCCGCTATTGCCCCTCTTTGGCAGAGTCGCACATGCCCGAAGGAGCTGCAATGAAATCCTCATCAGTATTTATTTTATTTTTTTGTGGATATGCATATTTGTTTTTGTTTTGGGGTTGTGTTCTTGTGTGTCTGTTTTTGTTTGCAGCCGTGTGTTGGTTTGCCTTTCGATGTGTACTTGTGTTTATGTCTTTGGGTGTGTGCTACTTTATTTAGTCGTCTTTCATACACAGCTTTCGGTCGTATGCCAGGCCATAATATTAGGTACCCCCACTTGCCTGCGTTGGATTGTTTGCAGCGTCATAAAGACCACAACATGGAGAGTGTGTTTCTAATATTCTGACTCTGGCTAAGCGAGCATAATATTCGGAACAGCTGTCGCGATTAGGCGGCTCAAACCCAGCGAGCACAGCGTTGAGTCAATTCGACTCTTGAAGAGCACTATGGTCTGTTTGGACTGCAGCTTGTTTGTAAAGGACGCCATTTGGCTGGAGCTAATAATAGCTTTCATTGCAGTTGCAGAGTTGTAACTCTACTCGTGCTCGGCTGCCCTCCCCGCCCGGGCGTCGGCCAGCACACCTGCGGAAGGAAACGAGGGTCGGATGCGGCCCTTCATCTAAAAGCTCCGGTGACCTGGGAGTCGGACGCGTGCGTCACGTATTTGGAGTGAGAGATAATCTACCAGCTGTTCGGTGGGCGGGAAGGGAGGGGCGCTGACGCAGGTCTTTCCTGAACTTCGCGACACCTCACCCAGTGCAACTTGAGTTTGGTTTCGACATGTTTGTTTCGTTTAGGGCACACAGAGACTAACAACCATTCGTGTTCACAATCACACCGAGGGACAATTTGGAGTGCCCAATCAACCTGCCATGCATCTTTTTGGAATATGGGAGGAAACCAGAGTACCCGGAGAAAACCCACACATGGCGAAGTGGTAACCAGTTGATCACCGGGCTGCCCGTGTTTTAACATATTATTCTTATTTCTTCCCTTTAGAACTAATTGGGTTTTATTTTTGGGAGGTTGTGGGGCACAGGGGGGGGAGATACTGCTTGTTTCGTAACATAAGATCTCTCAGTATGAAAGCGTACACTGCAAACAAGCAAATACATAAGGAGCAGCAAAAGGTCATGCGGGACCCGTTTGTCAAATTGTGCCACTTTTGTTGTTGTTGTTGTTACATCTGCTCATCAGCGCACACGTGCCGCGAAGCAATCATCTGCTTTTTAACCTCCCTCAATCAGCGCCACTTCTGCTCTGAACGCGCTCCACCGCGACCCCATTTCATGCCACACGTGTTTGCTGCCACTTGTCTTGTGTTATAAAAGATTACATGACTTGACCCTTGTTTCGTCTACGGTGAGGATGCACGTCGACGGGCCAGGCATCAGTCTTCATATTCTCGAGTGCTATTTTTAGAATTAAATAAAGAAATAAATAAAGGGTTGGGGGGACAAGTGGAGCGGGTGAAAGCTAGAACAGATTAATGGCCTCTCCATTCATGTCAATGGGGAAAGATGTTTTGAGTCTTTTAAATAACAAACATAGTTATGGAACGAATTAAACTTGTATCTCAAGGCACCACTGTATTTAACATGACAACAAGAACAAAAACTAAATTAGTCGCACATACCATACATATGAGAACCATTCGCAAGACTGAAAACAAACACAAAAAAAAAATCTCCCAACATCAGGACTTGCTACTCTGATAATATTTCAAAATAATCTACACTTGTTTTCTCAGCCAGGAACTGTCAGATGCTCAGGGCACTGTGAGCAGACGTGACTTGTCTTGCCACTGCTTCTCATTCGCTGAACCAAGCAAATGCTTATCTTTAGTCTGTGTTTTGTGTGTGCGTGTGTCAATGAATCCTCTTTTTGCATTTGCACTCCTCGCAGCAGGTTTCTCACCGCACGTGCCTCACCATCACTAAATGCTCGTCTTTGTATATTTTCACGAGCCTTGAGATTTAATCATCTATTTGGCTTCCTTCATTGTGGCTCCTCTTTAGTGAGTCACTCGGCGCTTCATGTGAGTCGCTCACTCGGTTGTGAGGATGAAACCCACACATGGCTCCCCCACTCCTGTCTGATCCCTCGCCACCCCATCCCTCCTCATCTTCTTCATCCCCCCCACCCCCCCCGCCCTCCCTTACTCAGAGCCAGGCTGGAACAGGTGGCCAAACAGCTGTTGCTAAGAAACCAAAAAGTGGTTACCCTTAGTATTTATATGTTTTCTTCAAGCTGCCTCTTTAGCCGTTCCTTCATTGTGTGTGAATATCTATCGATCTCTCTATCTATCTATCTATCTATCTATCTATCTATCTATCTATCTATCTATCTATCTATCTATCTATCTATCTATCTATCTATCTATCTATCTATCTATCTATCTATCTATCTATCTATCTATCTATCTATCTATCTATCTATCTATCTATCTATCTATCTATCTATCTATCTATCTATCTATCTATCTATCTATCTATCTATCTATCTATCTATCTATCTATCTATCTATCTATCGAGAGAGAGAGATACACTGTATGTCTGCAAAAAGTAAGAATATGACAGCAGTTTACTGAGTCCCTTAACAGTAATTCTTTGTATTTTCATCACTGTATTATATGGGTACTGGCCAAGTTGCACAAACCCAGGCATTGCAATGATTTCAACCTGATGTACAAACCTGTTTGATTCTTTGCATTCTATTTAATTGTGTTATTACTCACTTTAGAGAGCATCATTTTCTTTGGTTAAAAAAAAATGCACATGGGTTTTGTGGGGTGGCTGGAACGAATTAATGGCATCTCCATTTATTTCAGTGGAGTGAGTATCCTTGGCATACAGGTGTTTTGAGCTACAAATGTGGAAATGGAACAACTTCTACTTGAGCTCTCGAATGTCATCAAGTGCACCTCTTAAAGCAGAAGTGTCAAACTCATTTTTGTCGCGGGCCACTTTGGAGTTAAGTCACTCCGAGGGCCGTTAATAAATGTTTAACAATCTCATCGCGTTGTTACTTTGATTACTACTTTTGAGATCACTCCAGTCAACTATTTGTTTGTTGGTTGCTCGATTATTGTTCAAATGAGTGTAAGCAGGGTAACAAAATTATTGGATCATGGAAGTTGATAGACATGATTTGCTTTTGCGGGCCACATAAAATGACATGGCGGGCCAGATGTGGCCCCCGGGCCTTGAGTTTGAAACTAGTGTACTAAAGTGTCCGCCGTGCGTCTCCTCGGGTGACAAACCATCAAATGCCTTCGGAGCGTGGGAACAAAGCCCCGCCCTGCACATTCAGACTCCTCCTTCGTGACGTCACGGCATCTTAAAGCTGTCCCTTGAGGGCGTCCCCCGGCCGCTCTTCGCTCCTCTGCCGTCCTCCGCCAATGGTACTTCACACCGCTTCTGCCTCGGGTGTGCGTCCCACGTGTGGGGAGCACGGCCGCCGCGTCGGCCACCGCCAACGTCCGCCGGTGCCTGCGTGGAAGTGGGGATCGCCGCTTCCCCCGCCAACCTCTGCTCGTCGAGGAAGGTATGCTCCACTTTATTTCTTTTTTTGGGGGGATTGTTTTTTTGCCCCCCCCCCCCCAAGAGTGCATAACTATTGATAATGCTCAAATAGATTGTTGAAAGGAGCTCGAAAACGAGAGGAATAATCACATCGCGTTAACGTATGTTCACTCGGAAAGTTCGAGTGTGATGCCGATTCAGGACCGCGGAGAGCTCCTTAACCGGCACGCAGGCAGCAACTTCAACTGGAGACTTCCAACTTTTCAAAATGCGTTCATATTTCAGCATTGATTTTTTTTTTTTTGTGCTTGAGATAGCAAATGACTGACAATATGTAACACTTTATTTCAGTGGTTCTTAACCTGGGTTCGATCGAACTCGACGGGTTCGGTGAATCGGTCTCGGGGGTTCAACGGAGCCTCGGCCATGTTGGTTAACGTACACCCGTTATGAACAGTCAGATATGACACGCCCGCTTGGCCATCATTGGCTGCGGATGATCACGTGACATTACTTATCCAATCAGTGCTGCGGGAAATTTAGTTCGCTCATTATACAGTCAAACCTCGGTTTTCGTCCATAACCGTTCCAGAAGGCTGTTCGAAAACCAAAATTGTTCGAAAACCGAAACCACGCTCTTTTTAAAATAAAAATGTTTACTGAACACGTCTGCTTACAATGAAAAGCAACACGAAGAAGCGTCACTTCCTCGTCTACCCAGGAAGCGTCACTTCCTCGTGTAAGGAAGGGAGAGGAGTCTAATGGTGCCTTCAAGTGCGCTCAGTTTGTTCGAGAACCGAAATGTGTTCGTCATCTGAGGCATGAAAAACTCGAAATTTTTGGTCGAAAACCGAATTGGACGAAACCGAGACCTTCAAAAACCGAGGTTTGATTGTACTTGGGTCATGTAATTTTATTCACTTTTTTCTGTTTTTAATAAATGTGTTTTTTTAATGTCTTGAATTTGTAAAAGATCTAAATTTTAATTTTCACTAATGAAGGGTTCGGTGAACGTGCATATGAACTGGTTGGGTTCGGTACCTCTTACAAGGTTAAGAACCACTGCTCTATTTGTTTTTATTGAGCTGCCAAAAGAAGTGCATCAGTGTACTTATGTGTATGCAGAGAGCCAAGCTAAAAATATGCATTGTGTGAATGCTGAAAGACAAGTAAAATGCAATTTTTGAGCCTAAAAGTCAAAGTCTGGATATTGCATTCAAATATTTGACGTTTGAGCATCCATATTGATGAAACATGTCACCAAAATGCATTGTGTGAATGCTAAGAGACAAATGTAGTAAAATTGTGTGCACGTCGGAGTCAAGTTTTCAAATAATGACCGTCAAAAATATGCTGGGTGAATGCTGAGACAAACAAAGTATCAATATTGAATCAAAGAAATTGGATGTGATTGCTTGCAAAAAAAAAATCTAAATTGTGTCGAAGCTGAGAGACAAGAATCCATATCTGTGATGTTAAGTGTCAGAATATGTTGAGTAAATACTGGGAGACAATCATCAATATTCATGACGTGTTAAAAATATGCATCTGATTTCTGTGCGACGGGCGCATATTAATTAGTATGACAATGATTTTGCACCATTCTAACTAATGCCATTGTGCATTCAAAATATGCTGGATAATGCGAAGAGACAAATGCATCAATAAGGAGCATGCTGATAAAAAGCGGATCTGAGAAAAGGAGAAACGAAAGGTGATAGGGAAGGAAGGTCTGAAAGGAAAAAAAGACTGGTCTGGAGTGTGGAGTGTCAGGACAGCAGGAAAGTAGTTTTAAATGAAGGAAGAATGCAAAAAAAAAAAAAAAAGGCAGAAAATTGGTTTTAAGCCAGGGAAGGACTGATACAAAACAAAATGTGGGTCCGAGGCAGGGAAGGAAGCAAGGGGGCAAGGAAAGCCGAAGTAAGCAGTTCTGAGGTGAAGACCACAAGGTAAGGAAGGCAGTCAAGTAGTTTTTAAGCAAAGGTGAGAAAGGATGCAAAATTTTCCCAAGTGTGTCTGAGACAATGAAGGGTGGAAGTCCAAAGGTCAGGAAGATCTTATGCAGGTCTGAGGTAGCTTGATTGGGAAAAGTAAAAAGCAGATAAAGCCACAGAGGGAATTCCGCAAGGGTTTGTATTGATCCCCCCTGCGTTGTTTTTTTCTCCCGCAGGAGAAATCACCCGGCGCTTATGAACGACTCGGCCGCGCCGCCGCCGGCGAACGACTCGTCGGCCGGGGCGCAGTTGTGGACGGAGTCAGAGCGCAACGGCACTCTGGCGCTGTCATCAGACGTCCCGCTGGCCTTTGGCGTCAACCCGTGGGACATTATGCTGTGCATGTCGGGCACGGCCATCGCCTGCGAGAACGCCATCGTGGTGGCCATCATCTTCTACACGCCCACGCTCAGGACTCCCATGTTCATGCTGGTCGGCAGCCTGGCCACGGCCGACCTGCTGGCCGGCGTGGGGCTCATCCTCAACTTCGTCTTTCAGTACGTGGTCTCCTCGCAGACCGTCAGTCTGGTGACGGTGGGCTTCCTGGTGGCGTCCTTCGCGGCGTCCATCATCAGCCTGCTTGCCATCACGGTGGACCGCTACCTGTCACTCTACAACGCCCTCACTTACTTCTCGGAGAAGACGCTGCGCTGGACCCACGCCATGCTGCTGGCCACCTGGGGCGCGTCGCTGCTCTTGGGCCTGCTGCCCGTGCTGGGTTGGAACTGCCTGGACGAGCCGGAGACGTGCAGCATCGTGCGGCCGCTGACGCGCGGCAACGTGACGCTGCTGGCCACCGCCTTTTTCGTCATCTTCGCGCTCATGCTGACACTCTACTTTAAGATCTGTAAGATCGTGTGCCGCCACGCCCACCAGATCGCCTTGCAGCAGCATTTCTTCTCCGCCTCGCACTACGTGGCCACCAAGAAGGGCGTGTCCACCCTGGCCATCATCCTGGGGACTTTCGGTGCCAGCTGGCTGCCCTTCGCTGTCTACTGCCTGGTGGGCGAGCGAGAGTATCCATCGGTCTACACGTACGCCACGCTGCTGCCCGCCACCTACAATTCCATGATCAACCCCATCATCTACGCCTACAGGAACGCCGAGATCCAGCGCTCCATTTACTTGCTACTGTGCGGCTGCTTTCGGGCAAACGCCGCCTACCGCTCCAGGTCGCCCAGCGAAGTGTGAGCCGCTCCTACGACGGAGTGGAGAACAAAAAACCGCCGCAGTCATAGACTTATAGACAAGTCATGTTACATCAAACTCACAATATTCGGATATTTCAACGGGAACGTTACGAGCAGAGATGGACATTTTACAAAATTCTGCCAGTCCGTCTTTCGTCATCCATCAGTGGCCTGGGTACCTGTCCGTCATCCTCAGTCCGTCATTTTATTTTTTCAGTTCGAACCAAATTTATCGTCACTCCGTCATGTTATTTTTCTGTCATTCCTCCTGTCGGTAAATTTCAAATCATACGGTGACTAACAAAGACATGAATTGTCAAAACGGATGACTAAGAAATCAAAATGTCCAAGGGAAACAAAAAAAAAAAAAGTCGAATGATGACAAAAATATAACGCTCCCAAGAAGAAAAAAAAAAGTAAACTGTAAACCCAAATCATTCTGGGATTAACTTTGTAACGTCAAAGATTCGTCGCGACATGTGCTTGTTGCAACGCTCCTATTATTTTACACCCCAAATCAGTCTTTATAGAAGGTGCTTTGATTTTTTTATTTTTTTTTACCCAAACATTTTATCGTATTTATTCATTTCAGAGTTCATAACATATTTAATTGAATTTTTTATTTTATTTTATTTTTTTTAAAGGTACATTGTGTGTAAAATGGCAGCCATTGGATATCAGCACTTTAAACTCAACACGAGTTCTGGAGGGAGCGTTGAAAACCATTTTGAACAAGAACAAAAAAAAGACTGAGAAAAAAAAATTCAGACTTCACCTGTGAATGTATTTTCATGGAAAAAAAAATTTGCACTTTATTCAACGTCTTGTTTGTTTTTGTTTCATTTTGAAATGCCAAAGCAGTATCATAACAACCCTTCTTGTGTGGTGTGGTGTGATATTTTTCTATTTTGTATGTTTTGTGTCTTTCACTGTGTTTTCTACTTGGGGGGGAATTTAAAAAAAAAACACAACAAAGAATAAAGTGCTACAAAGGCAAAAAGGCATGCGTGTGGAGCGACTCCTTCTTGTGTCCCTTTCCATCTCACTTTGATTTCCTGCGTGGCTGCCTGTGTTTGACGAAGCTAATGGCACGTTGACGGCGCAAAGTGCTTGTCTGCGAAAAATAGCTTCAATTTCCACGCAGACACATTTCAAGCGTGTTTGCTCTCTCGCTGTGCATGTTTGTGCGCACGTGTCTTTGTCTGAAAACGTGCCGAGGGAACCCGGGTGACCACGTTCAAAATCCCAAAGTTACAGTTTCTTCCCTTGATTTGGACTGTGGTGACATGAACGTATTGTTTGCAGAGTTTCTTATGACATTAACCCTTTCATGCACCCTGATAACACGATAAGCTGTCCACTGTAGTAACCGCTGTACCATCCATCCATCCATTTTCCGATCCGCTTATCCTCACAAGGGTCGCGGGGGTTGCTGGAGCTTATCCTAGCAGCCTTCGGGCAGTAGGCGGGGGACACCCTGAACCGGTTTCCAGGCAATCGCAGGGCACACACACAGAGATGAACAACCATCCACGCTCACACTCACTCTGAGGGACAATTTAGAGTGTTCAATCAGCCTGCCATGCATGTTTTTGGAACGTGGGAGGAAACTGGAGTACCCGGAGAAAACCCACACAGGCCCGGGGAGAACATGCAAAGTCCACACAGGGAAGCCGGAGCTGGAATTGAACCACCGGGCCGCCCCGCTCTACCTGAAAGTGTTAAAATTGCAACGTTCTATGAGAAAAGTTACTAAAGTTGGAATGTTCCATTAACGTAATATTACATGAAAAAGTCAATCTCTTCAATTTGTATTTTTAAAAATGAAAAAGGTTGTGTTAGTATCAGGAGAAAAAAAATACAAATTCAAGTCTTGTTAAAATTGACTTGATTGAAATTGTACTGTTTCGACAGAAAAAAAAACAACGTTAAGTATTATTACAAGATTAAAATGTGAACATTACGAGATTGTTCCGACTGTTCCGAGAAGCTGAAATGTTCCCACATTCAAGCCGTTATGTAAAAAGGTCAAATTTTTCATTGAAAAATGTTGCAATGTTACTGAAAAAAAATGCTCCCAATATTTGTGCAAGTGACCTGTGTAGACATCTAAAATGTCGCATGAACGCCATTTCCGGATTGGCAACGGAAGGAAAAATAAAAAAAGAAATAAATATATCAATACTGTAACATACATGTCCACCACACCAGAAATAACATAATCCCGATACAAATAAATACACACAAAAAAATATATATTACAATAAAATAACTTAAGAGGTATTGCACTGCGGTGACGGGCAGTTCGACACTTTCCCAATAGAATCGACAAAATAAAACTTGGCTCCAATAAACAACTCAAGGTGCACCACGAGGTCTAGAAATCTAAGAATAATTTCAGTAAACGCTGATTAACATAAAAGTGCGACTGCATGACAGTAAAATGATTAAAAAAAATAAATACGTAAATGTATTACAAAACCCGCCAAACTTACGTCATCCACGCCACTGATAGATTGGCAACCTCCGACGTTTCCTCAATGAAGCCCCCCCCCCACCCATGAGATTTATTGACTGTTTTTGTTTTGTTTTGTTTTCTTTTATTTGCGCTAATATGACGCTTCGCTCAGCGTGGCGCACTCACAAGAAACAAACGTGTTTTGTTGAAAGTGACGCATTATCTCCATGTTAATGAGGACCCCCCCCCCCCCCCCCGGGAGCGGCGGTCACGTGTCAATGTGTGCTTGTGAACTCGTCTGTTGACTGCGAGATTGGTCAGAAAATATTCCTCGTCGACGGACTCGGGAGGAAAACACAAAAATAAATCAACTCGTAAATACTGATTAAAATTTGAGCATTAGGAGATGAACGCGATATTTTGTGTTTAACCGTTTAATGCACCAATAACGATAACATGATAAGATGTCCACTGGAGTGACCGCTGTCCCTGAAAGGGTTAAAGTCATCATGTTACGAGAAGGGGGTTGTATAGTTATGGGAATAAAGTCTAATTATTATTATGAGAAAAAAATCGGAATGTAACAAGATTACAGATAAAACATAAAATATTACATCCATACACTGTACTAAAAGACACTTTTAGATCACTTGTAATCAAATATTTTGTAGCCCTCAGTGGAGTAAAATAACGAATGATAAGATGATAAATATTGAATTATAAACATAAAAAGAATAGACAGAATTCCGACAAAATGCTAATTTACGCTCATGATAAAAGACTATATTGAATTGTTCTCCCAAAAAATATTTTTAGCCTTCGGTTTTGTCAGATGTCCGGAATGCTCCGCACAAAACAAAGAACCAGGGGGGAAAAAATTGAAAACAAACCCTTTGACGTCCATTTTTGTCTTGTTATAGTTGAAATATTGTCACCCACTGGACGCAACAGCAGACCATTGAACAGTTTAAATGATGTAAGGAAACGACAATTACGCCACAGAATCATAACTCAAATTCATTCCACTTTTTAATCGGAAAATGCAATCTTGATGTAATTAAACGACTTTCGCTTCGATTGAAAACAGACCTTGAGATTTGCAATTGCGTAATTCGAGATGTGGCTCCAAACTTGTCCTTGTCACATTTGGGTTGGTTACCACGGAAACGTAATGTGATGCGGGCGAGACATGCCTGCCTGGGCTTGGTGGTCAAGCGTTTTTTTCGAGCAGATTGTGTGTGGGTGCCTGATGATCGGGCGGGGACACTTCTGAGGAATCGTCGGGCAGTGTGAGTGACGGACACAACAACTACTGTATTGCCGAGAGAAATAGTCGACACTGCCTTGCTCAAAAACAAGCTTTTCGTGAAATGGAAAAAAAAATTTACACCAGACATTCCAGAACTTTTCCCAGAAAACATTTTTATTAAAATCTTTTTGAGAGGGGAAGTAAAAGTAAACAACTGTGATAATGTGGTTGCACGGAGACGCACGGCACAGCCAAAAGCATGTTGGCACAAGATGGCTCACGTGTCTTGAGTTCAGGGTTGCGAGGTGGGGTGTGGGCTGCAGGGGAGACACCTTGATTTTTTTTTTTTTTTTTTTTTGAGGTTTTGATGCAATGTTTTATTTTCCAGCTTTACAGCAGTTCTCACAGCTCAGGCGAGCATTACTTTTTTGGGGGGGTCCAAGCAAGAACGCTAGTTATTTTCACATTTCTTTCCAGGAACCAATATCTCCACTACCAGGTCAGCCTGACCCAAAAGGACGGCGAGAGCATGGCGACGTTGCACCTCAGTTGATCACTCGTCGAGCAGCCAAGGTACGATTAAATGCCATTAACGGTAGAGTGAGTCAGACAAGTCACTTTGACCTGCTCGATTTTAAATGACTTTTCGGCATTAGCATATCCACAGTTAGCGTTATTAGCGTTTTGCTCCCACTTGCTTATGAAACAGGAGACAGTCATGCATTGGAAGTGTATTTCTGCCTTACGCTTCTTTTTGCGATGAGTGCTATGTTGATGGATGTTAGCATACAAAAAAATTAGCATACTGTTTTTGTATTTTTTCATAAATTATAAAAACCTAAGCTAAGAATGTTATCATACCACCTGTTCGTAACAATATTATCTACAGTATCACCATATTCATTTTATTTATTTATTTATTTAAATATAAACTATTGTAAGTTGAGGGGTTCGTTGTTTTCAGTGTTTAGCTCTACTTTACGAACGGCAAAAGGAGAGATGGAATCATTTGAATACAGTTTTATTGCGAAGAAAAAAAAGACATCTGCACCGCAGCACGTTCGAGAGCACAACTCCTTCTTCCGCTACTAAAACACTTCCTGTTTCCTTCAGCCAATCAGACGATCTCAACATAAACATGTTTAAGAAATTATTAAAGAGAATATAATTTAGGTAACTTTAACATCAAAGACAATACTGTAATGTTCAAACATAAAATGATAATAATTAACAATTTAACAAAAGCTTACACAATGACGGGCCTGCCAATGTTTTCTGAAGTTGCTAGTATGCTTGACGCTAGCTAGCACAAGTCACTTTGACCTGCTCGATTTTAAATGCTGCCCCTTTTCGGCATTACCATATCTATAGTTAGCGTTATTTGCGTTTTGCTCCCACTTGCTATATAAACAGGAGACAGTCACGCATTGGAAGTGTATTTCTGCTGCACACCTCTTTTTGCGCTCAGCGCTATGTTGCTGGATGTTAGCATACAAAATATTAGCATATTAGTGTTTTTTCATAAGCTACAAAAACTTAAGTTAAATATGTGTAAGCCCCTCGACTTACATATGTTAGCATATCACCTTTATGTGTAAAAAAAAAAAAAAAAAAAGAATATGGTAAATCTGTAGATAAGTAGATAATATTGTTGCAAAAACGTGGGCCTGCCAGCGTTTTCTGGAGTTATGAGCATGCTTGATGCTAGCATACTAAATGCCAAAATACGAAATGCTAACTTTTCAGCAGTGCTACCCAGTCAACCACATTGGTAGCTGAAGAGGTTTTCTGCAGGAGGGGAGCCGAGCCATGATGTGATGTCGGCCAGCCCGCGGTGCTGGACTGTTGCGCCCCACCTTGGTCCTATCTATTGTCCTGCAGAGGAGCAACTGCGCATGTCAAACGTAGGCTTTGAAGAGACAAAATGTAAAATCTTAATGGGTAAGATGCGCATTTGTGTGTCCCTCACAATGGCTGCTGTCTAAAGGTCCTCATTTGATTCATTTTGCTTTAATTTATGAAACACATCATTTCAAATGTGAACGAGTGGCTGCTGTTTACTTTGGCCACAAGTGATTGGGTGGTTGTTGGGGAGGTGAAAATGGAGTGAGTGAGTGAGTGAGTGAGTGAGTGAGTGAGTGAGTGAGTGAGTGAGTGAGTGAGTGAGTGAGTGAGTGAGTGGGGCCAGGCAAACAGTGATTCACTCGGCAGACCAAGAATAATGAACAGTGTACCGATAATCATTGTGGACAACATGCTCGACCACTGCAATGGCGTAATAATAATATGAACAAACCCGACCACTGCATCTTTTGTGCACTTTCCTACTAATCTACATTTTTTTTTACAATGTCCTACCAAGCTACTGCGTTATTTGTTCAGTTGATGACTACATTTGTGTATGATTCCCAAATTTTTGTACAATTTCCAACTAAAGTACTGTACTACATTTGTGGACCACCCCCAATTAACTAAATGTATATATTTTTGTACAATTTCCAAATTAATGTTTTTTGTACATTTAAACACAAATTTTTGTACAATTTGCATCAAAACTAGAATACAAAATCACCATAGACCTTCCTTCCTACAAATTCGTATTAAATTACCATTTTTAAAAATCTGTTTTAAAAAATAAGTACATAATCTTTTAACAAAAACACGACCATAAAAACATTGTAGTTTCCTTCTGAAATACTTTATTGGGGTACAATATATATAATTCCTTTCGAGAATACCAGAATCCTTTTTTAAAATACAAAAAGGAAACTGTCTTTCAAACAAGTCCCAAAATAAATTAAAAAAGAGTCTGCTGTTCATCTTGTTCTGCTTTCCAGTAATCTTTATCTTCCAAATGTTGCCCATTTTTTTTTTTTTTTTTTGTGGAAGCAGTGAGTCACGTAATGAACCCTGCTTTACAGAAAAATACTTTTAATGGCAAACAAAATACTGTCATTTTCTTTTCCCCAAATAATGCACTAACTTAAAATACTCTAAGGAGGGGAAATCATAAATGCCAGACGAGAATAGCAGACCACTTATGAGTCAAGCCGGCGTAATCTTTATACACCATTCTTTTTTTTTTTTTTGCCTCTTTCTTTTTAAATGGCAGCTGTGGTTGCAATCATAATTCTCATCATAAGAAATCAATATATATTGGCACAGAAGGGAACTTGTGTGTTATAGCAGTCGCTTAATTGTCCATCATACCGTGACATGCATAGAAGTCAATTATTGCACGTTATGTGTGTATGTGTAATTACAAAAATGCTTTTATTTTGACGAGAAGCACATTGACGTGATTAAAAAAAAAAAAAAAACGGCCATGAATGTAGCTCGGGGTAATAAATGGCTGGAACTTAGAGTCAGGTATCACATATACATATTTGAATATTTAGTGCATATCCTTGATATCAAGTGTGCTGAATTGTCTTACTAGTGATGACAAAGAGGATACTAGTACATGGATGTTAAGATGGAAAAAGAATAAGGCAATAGGCACATATATGATGAGTAGCACCCAGTTTGGTCAGTAACCTAGCAGCAGGATTTCCGTGGAATCATTAAAAAAAAAAAACAGTTGGATAGCCGCGAGTATTATGTCATCATGAGTGTTCGTTGTGGTCGTAGATGAAGATGTAGTAGAAGAGAGCGCAGATGGCCAGCAGAGCCACCGACAGCAACGTGTTCCTCCTGTTCTGCTCTCGTAAATGCAGCAACTCTTTGTCTAGGGCAAGAAAACATTTTAAGTGCTTATTAATATACATGCAGGTACAGTGCGTGTCCTGAAGTGCCCCCAAGAACGGTTTCGAAAGGGTCTCTCTAACGTTGCCGAGATATTTTGTTGTTCTGTACTTAAAAATGATCTCATTGGCTTGACATTTGGTGTCAATAAAACATCTGTACAATTGTGGAAAATTAAAATAAAAATAATATTACTTAATTTGTATTGCATAAGATCATGAAAAATACAAGCAAAATAATATTAAACCATGTGTACAGCGTCAAATTGGGCGACTTTTTGAGCATACCTAAATTTTGCATCCTTTCGGTCATGACTGCCATATGTTTTTCCAGTTGTTGCCTGCGAAAAGAGGAGAAGGAAAAAGGGACTAAAATCAACAAGACAATAAATAAGTAAACACAAAATTAATATGAATATAAAGTTTTAAATTTGAAGAATTGCAGACAATTTTCCACACGGACCCACTGCCTTTCAAAAGAACACCTTTTTGGAACCTTATAGGCGTAGAAGAAGTAGGTATGTTCTTGTCATGATTATGATTAGGGATAATATTATAGATGGATATTATTGTCACCTCTCTTCCTCGGACAGCTTCTCTTTTCTGCTCCTGAACTCGGACTTTTCCAGGTTGTCATGGCAACGCGCCCGCCGCTCCTCCAAGTGGTCAATCTGCATTCATTTGTTCATGTCACGTGGAAGAAACATTTATTACTATTATTATTATTGTTATTTAATTTCCCATTAAACATAAATTTTAGCGAATAAAAGCTTTCAACAAAGCCAGCAAAGTTCAGGATAGGACTGTAATGTTACCTCACTGGCCACGCTGGTGTTCTCCCGTCGTTTGTCCTTCGCTTTTGCCATTTTTTAACAAAAAGCCGTATTTAGTGTGCATTCAAGAAGTGTTTCGGGGGTCATGACGAAGGCGGAAGTGATTTTCTTCTTCGTTACTTCCACTATCAAATATACCCCGCCTCACTTGCTCTTGGAGTGAGTGAGTGAGTGAGTGAGTGAGTGAGTGAGTGAGTGAGTGAGTGAGTGAGTGAGTGAGTGAGTGAGTGAGTGAGTGAGTGAGTGAGTGAGTGAGTGAGTGAGTGAGTGAGTGAGTGAGTGAGTGAGTGAGTGAGTGAGTGAGTGAGTGAGTGAGTGAGTGAGTGAGTGAGTGAGTGAGTGAGTGAGTGAGTGAGTGAGTGAGTGAGTGAGTGAGTGAGTGAGTGAGTGAGTGAGTGGGGCCAGGCAAACAGTGATTCACTCGGCAGACCAAGAATAATGAACAGTGTACCGATAATCATTGTGGACAACATGCTCGACCACTGCAATGGCGTAATAATAATATGAACAAACCCGACCACTGCATCTTTTGTGCACTTTCCTACTAATCTACATTTTTTTTTACAATGTCCTACCAAGCTACTGCGTTATTTGTTCAGTTGATGACTACATTTGTGTATGATTCCCAAATTTTTGTACAATTTCCAACTAAAGTACTGTACTACATTTGTGGACCACCCCCAATTAACTAAATGTATATATTTTTGTACAATTTCCAAATTAATGTTTTTTGTACATTTAAACACAAATTTTTGTACAATTTGCATCAAAACTAGAATACAAAATCACCATAGACCTTCCTTCCTACAAATTCGTATTAAATTACCATTTTTAAAAATCTGTTTTAAAAAATAAGTACATAATCTTTTAACAAAAACACGACCATAAAAACATTGTAGTTTCCTTCTGAAATACTTTATTGGGGTACAATATATATAATTCCTTTCGAGAATACCAGAATCCTTTTTTAAAATACAAAAAGGAAACTGTCTTTCAAACAAGTCCCAAAATAAATTAAAAAAGAGTCTGCTGTTCATCTTGTTCTGCTTTCCAGTAATCTTTATCTTCCAAATGTTGCCCATTTTTTTTTTTTTTTTTTTGTGGAAGCAGTGAGTCACGTAATGAACCCTGCTTTACAGAAAAATACTTTTAATGGCAAACAAAATACTGTCATTTTCTTTTCCCCAAATAATGCACTAACTTAAAATACTCTAAGGAGGGGAAATCATAAATGCCAGACGAGAATAGCAGACCACTTATGAGTCAAGCCGGCGTAATCTTTATACACCATTCTTTTTTTTTTTTTTGCCTCTTTCTTTTTAAATGGCAGCTGTGGTTGCAATCATAATTCTCATCATAAGAAATCAATATATATTGGCACAGAAGGGAACTTGTGTGTTATAGCAGTCGCTTAATTGTCCATCATACCGTGACATGCATAGAAGTCAATTATTGCACGTTATGTGTGTATGTGTAATTACAAAAATGCTTTTATTTTGACGAGAAGCACATTGACGTGATTAAAAAAAAAAAAAAAACGGCCATGAATGTAGCTCGGGGTAATAAATGGCTGGAACTTAGAGTCAGGTATCACATATACATATTTGAATATTTAGTGCATATCCTTGATATCAAGTGTGCTGAATTGTCTTACTAGTGATGACAAAGAGGATACTAGTACATGGATGTTAAGATGGAAAAAGAATAAGGCAATAGGCACATATATGATGAGTAGCACCCAGTTTGGTCAGTAACCTAGCAGCAGGATTTCCGTGGAATCATTAAAAAAAAAAAACAGTTGGATAGCCGCGAGTATTATGTCATCATGAGTGTTCGTTGTGGTCGTAGATGAAGATGTAGTAGAAGAGAGCGCAGATGGCCAGCAGAGCCACCGACAGCAACGTGTTCCTCCTGTTCTGCTCTCGTAAATGCAGCAACTCTTTGTCTAGGGCAAGAAAACATTTTAAGTGCTTATTAATATACATGCAGGTACAGTGCGTGTCCTGAAGTGCCCCCAAGAACGGTTTCGAAAGGGTCTCTCTAACGTTGCCGAGATATTTTGTTGTTCTGTACTTAAAAATGATCTCATTGGCTTGACATTTGGTGTCAATAAAACATCTGTACAATTGTGGAAAATTAAAATAAAAATAATATTACTTAATTTGTATTGCATAAGATCATGAAAAATACAAGCAAAATAATATTAAACCATGTGTACAGCGTCAAATTGGGCGACTTTTTGAGCATACCTAAATTTTGCATCCTTTCGGTCATGACTGCCATATGTTTTTCCAGTTGTTGCCTGCGAAAAGAGGAGAAGGAAAAAGGGACTAAAATCAACAAGACAATAAATAAGTAAACACAAAATTAATATGAATATAAAGTTTTAAATTTGAAGAATTGCAGACAATTTTCCACACGGACCCACTGCCTTTCAAAAGAACACCTTTTTGGAACCTTATAGGCGTAGAAGAAGTAGGTATGTTCTTGTCATGATTATGATTAGGGATAATATTATAGATGGATATTATTGTCACCTCTCTTCCTCGGACAGCTTCTCTTTTCTGCTCCTGAACTCGGACTTTTCCAGGTTGTCATGGCAACGCGCCCGCCGCTCCTCCAAGTGGTCAATCTGCATTCATTTGTTCATGTCACGTGGAAGAAACATTTATTACTATTATTATTATTGTTATTTAATTTCCCATTAAACATAAATTTTAGCGAATAAAAGCTTTCAACAAAGCCAGCAAAGTTCAGGATAGGACTGTAATGTTACCTCACTGGCCACGCTGGTGTTCTCCCGTCGTTTGTCCTTCGCTTTTGCCATTTTTTAACAAAAAGCCGTATTTAGTGTGCATTCAAGAAGTGTTTCGGGGGTCATGACGAAGGCGGAAGTGATTTTCTTCTTCGTTACTTCCACTATCAAATATACCCCGCCTCACTTGCTCTTGCGGACATACGTAGCTGTGTCCGCCATATTGAATGTGCAACTCAATTCATAGGTGTTACCCATGCAAAGGTGTTTTTTTTTTTTAATGGTCATTGATAGCTCTTCTTTTGTAGGATACCCTGAAAATGTGTTCCATTTGCTTTATGCATTATGGAACCGTATTTTCTGTTGTTTTGAAAATATATTGTTTGGCTTCAACGACTATTCATGTGCGAACCAAAAATAGTTTAATTATTAAGCTTATTATATTGTTGGCTGCATGGCATTTTCATAAATGTCGATACATCAACGAGAAACCAAATACTTTTAAGTGTAGCACACAAAACTGTACATTTATGTGCTCTTTGTAATTTGTTTTCGTAATTTATTTCTTTGCATTTGGCTGTTGGATTAGTCACCAATCATTCTTTGCACTCTGCTGCCACCTTGTGTCAAACCTTTTCTTCTTCTACGTCGGTCTCCTTCTTTGGTTGTATGTTGACGGTTGACAATGCACTAGCGACACCTACTGAAACTAGATTATTACTTGTCTCCAACCGTCTTTGCCGACAAAGGCAAAATGTGGTCTATTTTCATGATATTTCCGCGTTTGAATGTCATTCATTACCTGGACAAAACAGTTTTGTTTGTTGTTGTTGTTTAAAAACAACAACAACAAAAACAAACGATACTATTAATAGCAGAGCCTTTGAGACAGGTGAGCATTTACAAATTCTTCTGGGCAGTTTCTAATCGGATTAAAAAACATTAAGCGTCTGCGAACAACAGAGAGAGCGTAAATAGCTCTCCTCTCTTTAAAAACTTATTTTCTCTTTCATAAACCACAAAAAAAGAAAAAAAATGCCTCTTTTTGTGAACCGTGACCAAGTATTTGCGCACCAGGTGCACCTGCTGGAACACAAATTAAGAGTAAGTACTCGTAATGGTGGGGAAATGTTGTTTCGAGGCTCGTGGGTTTCCATTTTATTATAATTTTAACAAAATAATTCCTATCATTGTGTTTTCAGGCTAAAGAGGAGCGAATACTGGAATTGGAGACAGAGACTGCTATTCTTAATGTCAGGCTCGCTGAGGTAAGAGGCTTATTTCTTCGGTGAATTTCTTTTGGAGATTCAGGGAACTTTAAAATACTTTTTTTAAAAATTTACAATCATCATGACTCGTTTATTTCACATTGGAAATGACACATGTAACTTATTTTTTGAAAGTAATTTCTCTGCATCTATAGACTTGACCCCAAAATGTATCTCACTTGAAGACCGTGGATTATGGAATCATTTGATTTCATTTATTATACAATCCACTTTCAGGGAAGCACCATGAATTTGTCAAACAAGAAGAATGTTTTTATTACTTTTATTTAGTTGAATGTATTCATTTACAAATATTATTTATCTGAATTGAGGGTGGGTGCGATATCAAACTTGGAAAGCCATATGTTAAGCGTGTGTGTCTTTTTCTTTGTTTTAGTCCTTGGCAAAGTTGCAAGAAGAGAAGGACAGCAAGGCCTCCAACCCTCCACAGGTTGAAAATAAGATCACCCGCTCATCCATTGCAAAGCTAATTTCTGAGGTCCAGGTAAAGAACACAGACCTGATTTCAGACTAGATTTCCTTCCTGTTTGATTTGTTATATGTTTGTTTTCAGACCCTGAAACAGTGTCTAAGCGAACTTTTTGCCGTCTATGTGAGTTTTGCCACTGAGCTGGAGGAAAAGAGCAAGCAGCTACAGGAGAACGTAGAACAACAAAGATGCTATTCTCTGAAGGAATGTGGCCAAGACACTGTTGAAAGTAAGTCTAGGAATACATGAAGACCCAACAATTGCATTTTCCGTTTGGGTTGGTTTCAATCTCCAAATGTGGATTTATTTATTGTAAACATTCAAAGTTTGCCTGTTTTTCATCTTCAAATTTAAGTTGGTTCATGCGTCCAAATTGGGTTTATGACTTCAAAATTTGTTTTTGCTTATTTCTCAAAATGTTGGATTGTTTACATCCTCCAATTGTGGTTAGTGGACATACCCAAACTTCAGTCCCTGTTTCACCAAGTTAGTTCCTGCACTCAGATTTACAAGCCCGTTTGACCACTCTGGAGCGCTCTCTGGCGGAGGAGCGAGATAGGTGCGGAGCAGAGAGGCAGAGGAGGAAAGAACTTCACAACACGTTAGTGGTGAGTTCATTCCATTCGTTCGCTGTGGAATGACAATGTAACCAATTACAGCTAACTGCTATTCATCGTTTCTGTTTCGTCCAAGACACGCCTGTGTTGGGTGAAATTTTTTGGTGTGTGTGTGTGTATCATTTTACCCCTCCTAGATAAACACACTTGGTTGAATTGAAGAATTGTTTACTATCTGCCAAACTACTGCTTGTTGTGAAGTTTGCTGATACCGTAGAGACCTCTTGTCTTCAATTTCTGATTGAAAGTCAAAGCAAAAAAATAAATAAATAAAAAAGAGTGATGACTTGAATCTCAAAAAAATGCGCGTAAGTCAGTTGTATTTTGTTTCATTCTCTGCAGGAGTTAAGAGGGAACATCCGGGTTCATTGCAGGGTGCGTCCTCTTTTACCTTTCGACCACGTCCAGTCGTCCCCCTCTGGATGGGGGTGCGTCTTGCACTAAAAGAAACAGTCCAAAATATCACATTAGATGTATGCATTAAACACGGTCATGTCCATTTCAGGCCTGCATCATCGGAGCAAGTGATCCATGCCATCAGTGATGTAAGCTTTATAAATACTGTCCATGTGTGATTTGGTATCTACTTCTATATATTTAATTTGTTGAAGGACACTGTGGTTGTGAACTGCATGAAGCCAGGAGTGCCAGCACTCAACAAGATGTTTGAATTTGAGAGGTACACCAACAATTTTTTTTTTTCATGATAAAGGCTACATATTTTTCTGTCACTACAATAAATAATTTCCTCAAGGGTTCATGGGCCAGAGGACTCCCAGGAAGCTGTGTTTGAGGAGGTCAAGCCCCTCCTTACCTCATTGCTGGATGGGTAAGGATCAGGCAAAAGTGACGACATCGATACGCTGAGATAAACACAAACTTCCTTCGTCTTCAGCTACAATGTGTGCATAATGGCGTACGGGCAGACAGGAAGCGGGAAGACTTACACCATGACGGGATCCCCCGAGTTAAATGAACCCTCAGGGCTGCAGCAGGGCATCATCGTAAAGGCCTCCGAGGAGATCTTTCGGTAAAACAAATGTGTAAATCCAGCGCAACTAAGGTCCTCGTGATCTGAAATTGAGCAATAACCTTGTGAGCCAGGCTGATCTCCGAGAAGCCCTCAGCAAGCCACGCGCTGGAGATGTCGGTGATGGAAGTGTACAACAACGACGTGTTGGACCTGCTGGCCAAAGACGCGGGGCAGCGCCGGGAAAAAGTGACAATGTCCCCCGGTTCCTGTCAGGTCGCCTCCTTGACGCAAGAGTAAGAGCAAACCTCAACATGCCTCATTTACAGGCGACCGTTAAGTCCCTGCAAAGTGAAAATGACACAAAATCTTTCACGTCACATAAAAGACAAAAAAATTGCGAAAATTGAATTATTCAAAAAAAGCTCAAAGTTTAGAAATTAATGCTTCTGTATCCTATAACAAAGCTATTCTATCTGCTATCGAACATGTCCGCTGAATGCAATGAAACCAACTTTTCTTTGCTGCAACAATGAGGCACTCTAAAGCGGCCACACCAGCACAGGGCCCCTGTCCACACATTTGCAGTCACATCTGACTTTTTAAACCTTCTGTCGCGGCTTCCTCACTCTTTTGCCTTTCTCTATGTGATGTGCGCACACTCGCAGCTGACAACAAGGCGCTCTAAAGTGGCCACGCCAGCCCAAAGCCATGGTCCACAGGCTGCCTGTTTAAGTTAGCATATTCCCCCCTTTTCACTCATGTCTTTCTTTGTGTGACGTGCGCACACTCACAGCTGACAACGTGGCTCTCTAAAGTGGCCATTCCATCGATTACTCGGCCCCGTTTAGCCACGCGCGGTAAAACAAGGCTAACTGAAGTGGTGAAAACCGGTTTAATGCCATATTTCCACAAGTGAGTACTACTCGGTTCTCAGTCGTTGCACCTTTTTCAGCAATGATCTTCAAACATGTATAATGTATTTAGAAACAAATCTAAGAGTTCACTTTACAGGGTCTTTAAATGTATTCATCCAGCAACAAGATACCGACCAACATACTACAACTTACCTTCCTACCCACCAACCTTTTTATTTCCCCATCTCCCTTCCTAACCGCAATGTTCTTATTAGGCCTGTGTGTGACGCCTGCGAGGTGATGCAGATCATGAGTCGAGTGCTGCGGCTCCGAGCTCACTGCCCCACTCTTGTGCACACCGACTCGTCACGCTCCCACCTGATCGTCACACTCACTATCTCCTCCAAGAACCCCAACGCGCAGGCCCTGGGTGAGAGTCGCTCGCTGCCTCGCTAGCCATCGAATCACGCTGAACCATGCCTCTTCCCTTAAGCCCGCCGGCTGCAGAGTGCCAAGAAGAGCATGCAACACAGCGCCCAAAAGGAGTCGTGGAGTCCAAAGTCTCGCCGAGCCAACGCCGCCGTGCGGAACTCGCCGGAAGATGGCTTCCAAAGTCCCGCTTCCTCTCCCTCGCTGTCTCCATGCGCCTCCCCGAGATTGGGCACCTCGCAGATGCCGTTTCAGACCAAGCTGCAACTGGTGGACCTGGCAGGGAGCGAGTGTGTGGGTGAGCAGAGCATCGAAAAGTTACAGTTACATCCGCCATAAAACTCTTTAAGATTACTTTTCATAACACAGTGGAAACGTAGGTTTGAGTTGGATTTAGGTTTTACTTTTTCATTGGCTACATTAACCATCTTGGGCAACGTGTAAAAATGCATTGCTGTAAACCGAAAACCAGTTGTATCTATATGTAGGCAGAAGTTCCGCCTCCACATCCTTCGATCATCC